TTATGCTATGAATGAATGCCAGAGTCGTGACCCACGCCCTGATAATATGTCGATGAGGGCGCAGCACTTCGGGTGTCCCCTTACTCATGGCGCACCATAACCAAATAGTTGCTTTGCCAAATTTAAATAGGAACACATCTTAGAGATGCTTTTCTAGGGGGGGAAAAAAAAAGACAGTGAAGCGGCGGTGACAGACTCTCAACGCTGTGCCCGTCCATTTACATTTCATTTCGATGGGAGCCATCCTCCATCCCGCATGGCAGGTTCTGCTTAACTCAATGCAGGCGCGAACGAAGTCTATATGAGTATCGTCAGCGGCGTTGAATAAGAGGTGGACCCCACCGCCCAAAGTCTGGAAAAGGCAGTTTCCGTGGTAAAGCGACGCGGAAGTCCTGGAAGGTTTCGGAAAAGAAAAGATGGGACCCCACCGAAGTGCCTCTTTTCCAGACTTTTGGAATAGTTCTTCCAGACCAGTTTGGCTGTTTTGTCCGCCGTCGAAGCCCGGGTAGGCCATGGTGGACCTGCGGGGTGGCCGCTGACGGGTCGTGGGTGGCATTGCGTGGCATCTGCGCTGCATTGGGTAGCACCGTGCGGACACAAAATGGACCTGCGCGATCTTCCAAGTCTGGACACAAGTGGTTAACGGGGACCCCCACTTTTTATGTGTTTTTAATTTTTTTTTTTTGGTATTTTTTTTTATAATGTGTTCGTAAGAAGTGCACTCTATAGATTGGTGTGAAGTTTGCTTGGGATGGCCTTATGGTTTTCTTATAAATTGAGGTGAAAAATGGGGGGTCGGTTAACCTTTTCTCAGTCTGGAAGTCGTAGGGGGATGCCCCCCCCCTACCCCTTGCGTTTGCCACAAAATTTCGGCGAGGCTGACGTGGATCGGCCGTTTTCCGCCCGGAAAAGGACTTGGAAACTCGCTCTTCTCTTTTCCAGGCGCCACTTTTCCGGGCGGTGGGGTCTGGGAAATACAAAAAAAGGACTTCCAGACACTTTTCCAGAGGTTGTGGGGTCCGAGAGAACACCCGGCGGAAGAGTTCTTCCGAGATTTTCCCCTGTGGGGTCCACCTCTAAGTTGTGTTCGCCTCATTGTCGACTTGTACAGCGTCTCGTTTATTTGCATATTGATTGCATAACTGAGCAGTTCACATAGTGACTCAAACAGTTGCCCCAAAAATTAAGACATGTTTCGGATGCATCCTTCCTAGTATGCTGGTACGGAGCATTGCTTGCAACCGCACGGTGCGCCATACCGTGAGCTCGTGCGCTGTACCAGCGGCAGTTTCCCTCTTCTTTTTTTTTTTTGCTGTTTTTGTAGATGCAGAGGAGTGCACCACCTAAGGAACAGATCTTTTTCAAGTACAGCCGTCCGGTTGGGCATGAGAAATAGCCTCAAGTAGGTGGCGTTTGGAACATCAGTCTTGACCTTTACGTAGCGGCATTACTCTCCCACTAGTTCCCTCCCCCCTCCCTGCCCCGCCCCCATCCTTTTTTTTTTTTTTTTTTTTTTTTTTGAAAAACACCCCCTCCAGTGTTAGTGCTGCTGATAAGAGCAGACACCACTAACACCTAGGGAGAGGATCCATCTATTGGTGGGGAGCATCACCTGCTGGAAAACGGGTCCAGCGTCCCAACAGAAAAGGTCTGAGAATGTATGAGAGATGTATGAGAAGGTATGAGAAAGTCTGAGGGGATCTAGAGAGTCTAACGCCCCGCCCCACCCCCATCCCACAACAAATCTTCAAAGGGGATGCAGGTAACCATTGACCCACGTATGGAAAACGCCATACCCCCTGGATGGAAGTGTCTGGACTTAGGTTGCATCCAGGGGGTAGGGAGTTTTCAGAATGCCGTACCCTCAGGAGCTGAAAATATCGACCTAAATCGGGGCCAATTTCTGAGCTTTCAATTTCGTTCAAAAAAATATGTCCGTTTTGACGAAATTGCTGTCACAGGCTACGACGCTACGTGGGTCCTACATCATGCTAGGAACACAGAGGCACGCTGACTGCGAATTCCGCAAATTGCTTAGGCATTGCCGTTCCAGCGCCTGTCTAGAAATTGGACACGACATGTACTCATCGTGATGTACATGAGTACAACGTTGACTGTCATCGTACACATGAAAACAACGACTTTTTTGATGGGCTATATCTTAATAATCCTCGCGACATCAAGCATGCCGATCACATGCTAGCCGCAAAGAATCTCAGGTGCGCCATCGCTGTGCTGCACTGAGCAACAAGCTTCTTGGGCTTCCACGGCCGACATTTCCTCTCCACGGGCAGGGGATGACGGCGCCTGATCCAAAGTAAGGGTGTTTAGCTGTTGCAAGATCTGGTCTGCAAAAAAAACTGCTCGCGCTGGCAGCGATATCGAACAACAACTTTTCAGTACGGCGCGCTGTAGGTCATCCCATAACTGGTCACGTGAGAGTCTCTTCTCCACCTCAGGCTGCTGCGTCTGTTGCTCGTTGGGCAAGGATGAAGGAGGTCCGATTACGGGTTCAGCAGGTGTTTTTGCCCAACGTTGAACGTGGGACAGGCATGAAAGGATGTGGCATGGCATCGGGGATAGCCCATGCATGGCATCTTGGGCTGCGCCCTGGAAATATGCGATCGGCAACCTTTTGTGGGTACTTTCCTGAGGGTCCGAAATGAGGATGACCTTATTAACGGTCGGGAACCTGGTATTAAGGCCCGGCAGGATTTTGTGTCCTGGTCTAACCGCAGCCAAAAAGCTGCGGCGATTGCTGGCTGGTTACATAGAATCGACAGGAACTCTACGATTCGTGAGAAAATACCGGGCCAGGTCATGTTGTTAAAAATCGCGTACCTCAGAAAGGGCTTTCCGGTTGACCTATTCATAAAAGTCCTGGGCAACTTTGCGGTGGGAAGGGGCCCTGTCTGGGAGTTGACTGCTTGCCTGGTACGTCAATTTGCTTAGATGGGTTGGTCCCTCCGGTCGCCAACCTTCACTTTTTTTGCGGTCATCAGTGTAGGTGTGGTAGTATATAGTAGATTAGTTCGATAATCTTTTCCTCTATGTTCATCAGACCTGTTAAGGCAGTCATTCCCCGCTAACCTTGTTAGCTGAGAATGATTGCCGCCAAGTTTTGTCGTTAAGATCGGTGGATCTTGGGTTGATGGTCAGAAGGTTGGGCGGTGGGATGCAACGGACATGATGTGAATTCTTTCTATCTGACATCCCGAACTGCGGGATTCTGCTGTCTTTACTTTGAGAGACTGTGTACATCTCGCTTTGTGTGGTGTGTACCTTTTGCCCCCTTTCACGCAGTAAAGACGCAAAAAAAAAAAAAAAAAAAAAAAAAAAAAA